TTATTTAGCTTAGTCTTTAACTCGTGAATAATATTATGATTACTCTTTCGTAAGTGGTATACGATTAGGTCGAATTTATTAAGGAATAAGTCGAACGTCTAGTTCTTTCCTTGATGGAGGCGATGAAATTTTATACGAGCGGTCTCTTCTCGATTATACTCTTGGAAGGCTCTGTTTAGGTCTTTCTAAACTTCTTAATTATTGGAGTAGGGCTTATTACTATATTGATGGGCGAAGCTGGCTAGTCTAGGGCGAAGGGTGCTAAATGCTATTTTGGTGTATCTGCTGGCGATGTAGCTAATGAGGACTTTAGGTCTCTTATCCTGATAGAAGTCGTAATCTACTTGAATCTTATAGAGTATCTTCGACTTCTATTCGTCGTACTCTTCGGACTTGCTATCGAATTTGTCGGGATCTGGTATCTTAGGACGACTAGCACTCGTAAATAGTTCTGTTCTATAAGTCTGTTCGGTAGGTGATCGATTCCGTCGATTATTAGGTGGGCTTACTGCCGTAGGAACCTAAGAATGGATAGGTAGGTTGTTTGAGTTAAGGGCAGGATCTAAGGCTCGGCCATAGGACATTGGTTTCTGCTGTCGAAGTAGTGCGGTAGATACTCGAGTAGGGGCTGGAGGCGGAGATGTCGGCTCGATAATCTGAATAGAGGATCGACCTCTAATATCAACTTGGGCTTCTGCTAGTCGTTTCTCTAGGTTGTCGATTTCCTTGAATTGCTCTTGAATAGTAATATTACGGGATGCTAAGGCGGCCTTATATTTGTCTAACGTCTCTTATACGCGCTTGGTGGAGTTAGCCTGTTTATTGATGTATAGCTTAAGTGTAGCTATACGGTCTTGTTGTTGTTGAGATGTCTGGTAGTGTTGCGCTATATCGGCTCGTGTTTCTACTAGTTGTTTTACTACTCGTCGTATTATAGTGAATATAAGAGGAGTATGTTGCTGTACGAACTGGACTAGTTAGTTGGTGTTCTTGAAAGTATAGTCTCTCTAGGGGTCCCTCCCTGGGGGAGAATCTCTCGCGAATACGTTTCCAATATCGTCTTTATTCCAGTCCAGAAGGAAAGTAAGATCGAAACCGCGTCTTAAGTGTTGTAGCTTAGGTGGTATACGTTGACCTAACGGTACACTGTTACTCGGCTCCGGCGTAGTTTCTGGTAGATCTTCCGATGGTTCTTCGGGTGCTCCTGTATCTTCTTCCTCCTGATCAGTGCCTTGAAGAAAGCCTGGTATTTCTCTTGTTGGAGATGCGTGCCTAGAAACGGAGGTGATCTTATCTTCTTTAATAGAAGGTAAGGGGACATTAGCGGCTTCGGTTTGAGACGTTGCTTGAGTATTGGTAATAGTGTTTTGGGTGCTTTGCGTATCCCGGGTAGGCGTAGGTGGGGGTCTATCCTTATTGTTATCTTGATTATCGTTATTACCTCCCTCTTGTCCCTTCTTAGTAAGCGACTGCGGTTTGGTAGGAGAGCGACCTCGCTTGCGTGGAGAACGTGAGGTGAGAGGCGGAGCGTTAGCGAGAGTATTAGCTCGGGATTGGGCGCGTTGAGCCCTTAAGGAAGGTAGGTCTCCTATATTTAGAGGGCTCGATGGAGGAGGAGTAGGTCGGCGATCAGGCGGTTGATCGGCTATGACGATGGAAAGGTAGGGAGGCGTAGGAGTAGGAACGAAAGTCTTCTGAGTTGATCTTGTAGATCTGCGCCTCTGTCGGCTATAGTACTACGCTTCGATTCTTAAAGAAGAAGAAATTCTGAGGGTTAAAGAATAAAGGAATAACTGAGTTAATAGTGTGAACTTTAGAGGAAAACGCAACCGAGTTAACTAGTGAACTTCGGTATACAGTAAGCGATCCGAGTTAATAAGTGAACTTCGGATAATAACGATAACCGAGTTAACGAGTGAACTTCGGGGTGTTAACTTGCTGGCGCTCCTCTGTCGGATACGCTGAGCAAGTTGCAAAAGCAGGTACTGTAAGATATCACGAACCTAATAGGAGTAATAGGTGTATGATTGATAGAATTGCAGTACGGAAGACTATGAAGGAGAGTTGCGCGGGTGCGCGAGGTAGACACAGACCGAGGCGCGCCAAGCC